TTAATTAACCAGATCCTCTCCTGTCAAATAGGGTAGGGCATTGCTCATCAAAATACTTGCAATGGTTTACAGCTACTCTAGCTGTGACTCTTCTGTCATGAGACAAATACACTGTCAGTTTGCTTTCTAGGTGAAATAGCCAGTGTATCTCTTTGCACTCCAAGATTCTTCACAAACTGGAAACCGCCTGCTGTAAATATCACAGTCACTTAGTTGGCACATGGTTCAGTATGGAAATAGGCATGCACGGTGAGGTATGTAATACATTAATGACCAGGGATGAAGATAGGTGTTCGTTACCTCCTGCTTAAAAGGAACAGCTCTGAGGTATGACACCATCTGTTGACTTTCCTTAACACTAAGACCTTTAGAACCATAATTTTCAGTATAGATACATAACTTCTTAAATATCCATACAAACATTTCATACTGATTATGATGACTAGTTGGCAACAAGCTCTCAGTACAGACTTAACAAACAAACTCACCCTAAAACTTTTCCTTTTCCAACCACTTAATGGAGATTCCCTATCTCCTAGAACTGGAAGGGACCTTGAAAGGTCATTGAGTCCAGTCCCCTGCCTTCACAGCAGGACCAGCTACCATCCCTGACAAAATTTTGCCCCAAATCCCTAAATGGCCTCCGCAAGGATTGAACTCACAAACCTGGGTTTAGCAGGCCAATGCTCAAACTACTGAGCAACCCCTCCCCCCAGAAAAAAAATCCTTCAAGCTAGGGCAGTTCTTCAATCTATGGTATTTGGGTCCCTTTCTTGGAAGTACCCTAGCCAAAGACAAAGATCTCCTGTTGTTTTAAAGATTCCCACTTTTGCATGGGAAGTTACCTGGCCAGCCCCTACCAGTTAGGGAGGTCATGTGACTTCCTAAGACCAACTGCTGCTAAGACTTAAGGACAAAAAGCTCTTTGCCTAATGTCTAGGCAATAATATGTAATCTCAGCATTGGAAAACCCTTGATGGCTTTCCTTTGCACATTTAAAACCATAAAGCATTCTATGTCTACTTTTACACATAAGAATGACACCTACACCAAAATAAGATAAACCGATCCAGCAGATTATGACATGAAGATTGATAGGTTACATGAGACAATTTGTCCAAAGCACCTTTGTGTTAGGCATATCTGTGTCCTCAAGTCCATTTTCTAAAGATGACCTACCCCAACTTGTTCAATAACACTCTGCAGTCCTGGGGGAGACACCACAGCTCTGGCTACCAAAGAGCTATGAAAAGTCTGGAGTTGTGGGGGGCAATTACTCCCAGTGTTCCATAACAAATGATGCACATGAAAAGAATCCCATACACTTTCACCTCTCTTGTTCAAGTCCTACATGAGGCTGTTAGTTTGGTTAGTGTGGCGTTAAGTGCTGCTGAATGTTTAATATGATGAGGACATACCGTGCCTCATGTCCTTCACATCTGACTCATCTAGAACAACTGAATGAAATCCACAGTGTCAGCATGAGTATGGGATTGGATAAAAGCTAGAGAACTGGTTTAATTCAGGCAAGATAGTAATAATGTTGTTGCTGACACTTCTTTGTTGAATGGAAGCATATTTTTGGCTTAATAGGCCAGTTTCCTTTTGAAGCAGAAATAAGTGACATAAACTATTTAAACTATTTATTTCATCTATTAACAGTACAAACTTCTGTTTCTATGAATAGAGATAGTAACAATGTTCAAATACAGTTCTATTTTGCAGAAATCCCTGGTAAAGTACTGCTCACCTGTTCCTTAAAAGAGTTACTTGAGCCTCTTTCCATCTCCAGGGCTATGTCTACACTCGCAGTTTCTTGCGCGAGTTATACGCAAATGAGGCTAAGCGTGGAATATTGCCGAGCCTCATTTGCATACCTAATGAGCCACCGTTTTTTCAGAAGAGGCTCTTGCGCAAGAAGGCGTATCTACACTGCCCCTTCTTGTGCAATAAAAACCCTCTTGCGCAATGCCGTTCTTCCTAAAAAGTAATAGGCATAACAGCATTGCACAAGAGGGTTTTTCTTGCGCAAGAAGGGGCAGTGTAGACGCTCCTTCTTGCGCAAGAGCCTCTTCTGAAAGAAATGGTGGCTCGTTAGGAATGCAAATGAGGCTTGGCGATATTCCACGCTTAGCCTCATTTGCATATTACTCGTGCAAGAAGCCGTGAGTGTAGACATAGCCCAAGAGTTTCACAAAACTAAGACACAGCCACCTTCACATTAACTGAAGAATACTAATGTAGTAATAACCATTATAAATCTCAGTGCTTTTCATTCACTCACTCAGAGCTAGATTTTTAAGATATTTAGGAATCTGAAGATGCAAATAGGCACCTAATAAGATTTTTTAAAATGTTAAGGCACCTAAGTTCCATGGGTCAAACATACAAAACAGTTATTGTTTGCAATGAGAGAAAAATTAGGACAGTATTGGGCACTTTTTTTCAGAATAATAAGGGGAGAGAAGGCATAGTCAATTTGGAAAAAAGCTCTCAAGCTAGTTCTTTTTTCAATTATTATGTAATATAGTGCTACCAGTTCTTCCAGTTGTATCATGAGTTGCATGATATTTTTTCTTAAATCTCCAACTTATGGAAACCTCTCATGATGGGAAAATCTGTTTTCATTTAATCACAACTTTCATATTTAAAAAAAAAAATGTGTAGCCTTCTTGGATGAAGAAAAAAACTTAAAAATATGATCGCAGATCACCCAAAAGGTTCACAAAAGCAAATTGTAAAAACTCAAAATAATTTCTGTTTATTAAGAATATGATTTTATGGCAGGAGTCTCATGATTTGGGGTAATTTGATTTTATGCAAGAGTGGTGTATCGTGTGTGTGTGTGTGTGTGTGTGTGTGTGTATATATATATATATATATAATGTGTGTGTGTGTGTATATATAGTAGCCCAGTGTCTGTAACGCTGATGTACACAGCCACGCCCCCTGGCTGTGTACATCAGCGCCCCGCCCCTCTTCCCGTCCCTCC